ATCTACAGCTAGTGTTTGGTTTGTCCGTTCTCGGCTACTGTAGAAGAATGGCGATTTAACATGGCGGCCTCCATTGAAGGCGACCCCGTCTGCTCATTCTAACGAAAACACAGACATTTCTCTTTTACATGTGATTATGCACTAATAAAAACATAGTTATGCATATTATATTAAATTTCTGCCGACAGAGCCTACTAAATATTACACACTGGACCTTTAACCCTCACATCCGTCACACATACACGTACATGCAAACAAGACCAAACTCAATCATCTTCCACTGATCAGCGTAGAGGGGAGTAAATAAAAAACTGTGGGCTGTCATATGAGTCCACAATAATCCCCACCAGCCTGAATGACTCAAAGCGACTCAACATGGATTAATAACAGGGATTAGAGTGACACAAACTGCAGTCAATGGCAGAGACAGAGGAAGGAGGACAAAGACACATTTATTTTAGTCCAAACCAAAACCACTATACCTACGCACACAGACACACACTAACAATAAATATCTGGAGCACCACATTTACTTAAGAACAGGACTCTGTCAACAGTCCTCACTTCTCCCAGACATTTTGATGTGAGCGCTAATATTTATACTGCCGATATGTCATAATGTTTTATGGACTAAAACATAGACAGCAGCACTTTTGTTTTTTTAAAGAGTGAATTCTTTGGCCAGTGAAATGGGCTTCTGATCAAGAACTTATTGGGTGTTCATGCTTGAGTTTCTAGACTCCAATAATTTAGCAGGCAGTTCTGTCAAAAGGAAGGCAGTAGAAAGGGACAAGACAGAAAAGAGCAGACAAAAGCCCAGACAGCAAAGACAAGCGGCTCTTTTATCTGTTCTATAATAAAGCATGAAATAGGCTGGGTAACTCTCGACTTTGGCACTGACACCGGCGCTCAAGTCCACTTCAGAGAGCGACATCCTCAATCAAAGGAGACGTGCGACAACAAAGATACACCCCTTCCGTACTATAATTGCTTTCATGTTGCCCCCAAAATACACACAAACATGTTTTTCAAGAGTCTGGGTGTTAAAAAGGAACATACCGTGAAATTAAAAATGTAGAAGGGAATGTTCTGTATAAAATTTGAAATATGCCCCATCTCGAATTGACCCGAGGGCTTTTTGGTGGCAGCCAAGACACAACTGCCCCAAAAGAGGTCAAATGGCATAACAAGACATGGCCACATCACTCCAAATATAGTTTACTCGCAGTACTGTACGTCCACACAGGCTGGGCAGCAGCCGGAAAACCACTCTAAACTCCAAATAAGGCACAGGCAGCATAAATAACCACATACAGTAGGACAATGCAGATGTCATCACCCATCTTGTCACTCAATGTAACTTGTAATCCACTGCTGTTGCCATGAGAATAGAGACTTTGAAGTCCTATCGCCTTGACAAGAAGGCCGACAAGCAGCGCAGCAGGCTCTCAGACAACACTAGCAGCTGCCTGACAAGTAGACCGATCCCAGAGGAAATGGCCGTCCTGGTGACCGGCTCACTGTACTGTAGGAGATATTTGTGTCTGTCATTGTCTCCGTCTGTGTCCTGGAGAGAGTATGTGTTACGACTGCACAAGCAGAGAGAGAGTGTGTGTTAGTCTGACGCTGGTCAAACAGGTGTGACTTCTGTCTGCAGCCAGGAAATTGACCCAGTGATGGGCTTTGTCGTCCACGCCTATCAATGTTGTTTTACCACACAAGTAGAGTACTGGCTTATTTTAAAAGGCAAAAGAGAGTTCGACATAATGTTTTTTCCAAATCTATATGAATTAATGATTTTTATTTAAATGTCCTGCCATGATGGGTTTAAAAGACACTTTCACAAGACATCCATATTTACAGTTATACAGTCGATGATAGGACAATATAGTGGTTGTCAAACTGGAATGATGCCCCCCCAATCCACAGACGGCGATGTCGGACTGTCTGCAGGTCCCTCTATCACGTTGGTCCAGACTGAAATATGTCAACAACTACTGGATGCATTGCTATTAAATTTTATAAACACATAATGTCCCCCCCTCAGGATGACCTGCAATCACTTTGGTGATGCTCTAATTTCTTTAGTGGTCTCATCAGGTCTTTAAATTTGTCCAGTACTTTGGGCATTCCCATCAGCCTAAGCCATAGTGCCTACTTCGTGTGGCCTACCACTTCAGGCATCTAAAAATCTGTCAAAAGGGAAATCACTCATCTGTTGACCGCACAACTGTTGCCTGCACTGAGGGCAAACCTTGAGGTGCCACAAGTAATATTTATTGATCACAATAAAATCAAGAACACAAAATGAATTCAAGGCTCCACACAGCAACAAATCCAACTGGACAAAGTTGATAATGTGAATCACGGCACACAGTGGATAGCAGGGAACAGCAGCCATAGCAAATCATTGTTAAACAATGTGGATTCAAAATGCAACAGAGCAGCTTCGCCATATTCAACACAAGAAACCTTGCTGACCGCTGACAGGTGTCATAAATACACCTGGAGGAGACCACCTGCTCATGCGTAAAACACTCCAAACTCAACACTCACTACAACGCCATGAGTGAAAAAGCAAGGTCAGTCTCTCTCTCTCTCTCTCTCTCTCTCTCTCTTATTTTTTTTTTTTTTTGAGTGTGTGTGTATTTGAGGAAGAGGAACACATCCCAAACAAGCTGGTTGCCCAACTATAAACGGAAAACCTTGTGTTGGGGAGAAATACGCAGCCAATTCACAATTAATCTGCAAACACTCACCTGATGCTGAGCCCCACCAAATGGCAACAGTGGAGTTGCCACGCTGCGCCGCATCTTCCACTTAAGCCCGTTTATTTGCTCAGTTTGTTCCCAGTTAGTTTTTTATTGGGGGGGAAATCGTGCCAACTGGGCTGGAGTCCGCTGTAATCGCCCTTCCCCTGCATAGTTCAACACACACAGGTCGCCAGGTCAGATTCTATTACAAGCAGCTAATTAGGCTAATGACCTGTCAATCACACATTAAAGGTGACACCCAGGGTAGAGGCCATATTTGGAGATTTTCTGTATGTGATAAAAACCATTTAAACTGAACTTTACCAAGACAGAGGGGGAAAAATACAAAATGCAAAGTAAGTATTTTATTATTACTTTTATTATAAGTGAGATTTTTTCTATAAATATATAATAACTTTGTTGTTAGCACGTCAGAAAATAGGGAAAAAAATATCCTAAAGCCCAATGTGACATATTCAGATAGCTAATTTTGTCCACATAAAGTCTAAAACCCAAATATATTTAATTATCATATAGTACAAAAGAGCAACTACTCTTGTTTTGCTTTAAAAAAAAATCATGAAGATGAATCAGTTCTGTTGATCAGCCAATAATATCAGTTCTAATTCAGTTAGTTAGTTATTGGTAACATGTTTCAACATGCACCAAATAAAGGGGATCCCTTTTCTTTCAAAACATGCAGAATAACTCCATCTTGTTTTTACATTTTAAATGAAATATGAATTGGATGAAGCTATTTTATTAGTTGGCAAATTGATTCAGTTATGTCATACACTAGGAAATATCAGATATTGTGAAGTGAATAAGATCCTACATGACATCAGTCTCTCAGCTGGAAGACGTACTCGTCCTCATCAAGGAAATCAGAAACCGACTCTTATAGAGCTTGCGTATTAGATGAATATATACAGTAGACAGACAGCCGTGCATGTCCTAGATACCAATGACAATAAGCCTACTATAAATGTGAGTAGCATCCCCTAAATTCACACACACACACACACACACACCATGTTATCCTTTGCTCAACTACTCCAAGCTGCTTTAATTTCAGAAGTGAGCTAATTGCAATTAAGATGCATGGGGTGCTGAGCTGGGAAGTAAAAGGAAGCAATCAGTGTTGATTATAGAGCCTGAGCCTGATCAGAGTAAATCATACACTGCACGGCTCCTCTCTGCCTGCCTGAATCTGAGTCAGGCATGACACCGGAACAGAGCCTGTTTTTAGTGTGATTACGTCCATGGCAGCACTACTGACTCCAGCTCTCTGCCAGATTTGAAAGGATTACGACACATGTGACACTGTGAGGTTGACCTAATCATGTCTTGCCCAGAGATGCACAAAAAGATGTGTTGTGGGTCAAAAGAGAATATACCCAATACAGCTGCCCGCCTGAAATTAAATGCTTTCCTCGCCAGTTGCTTTAGTTCCATAATCTGGGTTTGTTTTGGAACCTGCTCATTATAGCTGAAGCTGTGCTGCTGTATATCAAATTTGATTCATATATGTAAACACAGCAGTAAAAATAAACTGTAAATTAGCGTTAGCAAGACTGTTTTCTATGATTAGCTGTCTAAATCCGTATTTTAGGGATTGGTGAAATCAAGCCGTAAGGGTTTCTTAGAAAAAGTAATTAAGTAAATTGTATCTTTGGAGCCAGATTTTTAAATTCATTCAAATTTCAAGTTCATCTGTAGCTCTGTGTAGACTGCTCAGATGATCCAAGCTGAAATACATAACCCTGTATTGATCCAGTGATGCACAAGCAGCATAGGGAGCTGCAGCAGTCAAAACATATCACAAGTAAAATTCAGTATACATTTTGAAAGCTACAAAGAAACGCTTTTGCAGACATTGGGGGATTTCAGGGATATTTTTAGCTCATGTAATGCTTTTGTCCAAACATAAAGAAACAGTTGCGTTAAAATAAACCACTGTTTATATCAGAACTAATGCTTGAAAAGCCCCCTTTCCTGTCTACTGACTACAATTTTCCTTTTTCCAGATGTCAGATGCTCAAGGGCACCACAGCTAAATCTGGTGAGTTTGACTAATCTGAGGGGCCACTGGGCATCAGTTTGAGACACACTAGAGGAGATTTCTACTGCGGCTTCATTTACATTATATGTTACTGGTTACAGAGGTAGAGAAACTGTGTCTGAGTTGATTGGCTAACCAACACTGACACCTAGTGGTTGATAGTGGCACAATTATTACAAGAGATCTGGGCATTTCAAGAGGAATGTTTATTTAAATTCCATCTCAGCATTCGTTTTAGTTAATTTACATCGGCCATGATTGCTCGTCATAAAAAGTATACAGAAACAAAGTCAAATGAACTTAAATAAAAGCTATATAATGCTAAAATACTGTTAAAACTAACCTCCTGTAAAACATTTGAATGACCAGTACATACACAGTATCTGCATACTACAGGAACAAACACATGTATCAACTGCATCCACTGTAAAAATGTAGCTGCTAATTAAAAGCATTTTAAAACAGTTAAAAGAGAGTTTGTGAGGAATCATCTTGGTGATGACATGTCAAGTGTTCGTGATTGTTATAGGTTCATGTTACATCTGAGTTGATTTTGTGCTTTGTTTCTGTGCATGACTTAAGAAGAAGCAGAGGCAGTACACACAAAAACATGCAAAGGGAGTTAGGACCTTGGGCATAAACAAAGCTGTCATGCTAATTTCAAGCATGATCGATGCGTAATGGGTTTTAGCACACTGCTGCCTCACTGGCCCAGCAGCACAAATGAATGCAGGCACATGTGAAGGGATTTTTTTGAAAAGAATGTGTTCATTTCGAAGCACCGTTAACAGTACAATGATGGTTTTCTCTAAATGAGCTCTGGAGTGAAAAAACAGATAAAAACTGACATGTGAAGAAGAAGAAAAGAACCCCACACCGATTTCTCTTACTGGTGTCTCAATCAAATATGTCAGGGAAGTTGTCTTCGCAGTATTGTGCAAAGTCTAACTCCTCAACAGGGAAAGTGATGTCCTTCCACTTCTTCACAGTAGTCCTGCCATCAGGGGTCTCCATGGCAAAGTTCTTGATGGCGAGATTGGGCAGGATGGCAATTTTCTTGTACTTCATCTCAAATCCCCAGTCCTGTGAATGTAAATAAGGATTAAATGCACACCGCAACATGAGCCCCAACATCAGAGTTTTAAATTATGAATTGGCAGAGTGAGCACTTTACCTTGGTGCAGCCTCTGTTACTGCAGCTGATTGTATGTCCAGGCTCCCAGTCCTCAAAAGTCCTTTCCAGCATCACCTGCCCACCGACTTTGTAGTGTCTCCTGAGAGAAAAGATAAGCAGTGTTAACAGGACGTTCACAGACGTTTTGTAAAGACTTCGGCTTGAATATTCTTTTGCACATATGCTTATACCACAAAGAGTTCAACTCACTTAAAGTCAGGGTTGACGTTGACATAGTGCACGTTGTCAACAAGTTTAATGTCACTGCCAGAGGCCACAGGCTTGAAACAGCTGCGACACAAGAGCTGGACATTAGCAGCCAAGTTGCGACTCCTCCTCGCTGTTTTGGTTTTCTCTGCAACTTTCCTGCTAATTACTGCCTCTGTCTGTAGCTCAGTTATCTGGGGACAAAGTATAAAAGGTGATGGCAAGAACACTAAGCAGTGAAAGTAAGGGATGAAGATGGACACAGTACCACATCCTCACCTTTCTCTGAAACTCTTCACGTCTCATATCTTGGACCTTGGCAATGGCCTTTCCAGTCAGCTCTTCCAGATATTCGTTGGTGAGCTCCCGCTGCACTTCCCGTCCCCCTTTCTGGGCGACCACTGAATACTGACTGTCTCTTGCCCGGGCACGGCCACTGGCCTGCTGCTGGGCAATTTCATTTGTAAGCAGTCCATAGCGTACCACCAGGTTGCATTCAGGGATGTCAAGGCCTTCTTCAGCCACACTGGTGGAGATCAGGAGGTTGAGAGAACCCTCGCGGAAGTTGCGGATCGTGTCTGCCTGCTCATTCTGCAAGGAAAGTACACATGTAAGGATGCATCAATAGATGAGTTGTTACTGAATTGGAATGACTTAAAGCTCATAGGTTAGGATTGTATATCAACACACCTGTGTCATGTAACCGATGCCACTGCCAGCCCCAGTGAGAATGGCTGCCTTGATGCCAGCTTCCTTTAAGGCTCTGTTGGTGGAGACCCAGTCATGTAGGCAGCGGGTGCTTTTACGAGTTTTACTGAAGATGATTCCTCTTGATTGCACACTTGGACCAAACTGTTTTAGCAGAGTGCTCTCAAGTTGGACCATCTTCGGGTTCACATAGCGAGAATCCATTGCAAATTTCTTTAGCTCCGCCTTATTCTCTGTGTAAAAGTGACAGTGGTATTAATTATTTCTTGCAAAAAACTGCACCATGAGCTTCACATAAATAAAAATGATATGGCCAGTCATATACATAGATAGGTAACTCATATTTTTGTATTCCTACCATTGAAAAGTCCGACGAGGAAGAAGTCTGTTCCATCAATTTCAGGGACGTTCTGGTAGAACTGTTCTAGGGAGCCAAAAGCATCCATCATTCGCAGGGTGTCATTGATGAGCAGGGCGTCGCTGTACTTTCGGAGGTGGAGTGCACATTGTGCCAGCAGTCTGTTGTCGTCTTGTACTCCTGGTCCAAATATACACAAATTATGTGTGAGCATCAACAGAAGCATTTGCTGTCCTTGCCACCAAAACCCTAAAAACTGCATTGTAGCATACAGGATCGAAAAAGAAACTGATTTCTTACCTCGCCGCTCTAGATTCACCACATCTGCCTCATAGTCTTGTGTGCCACACTCTCTCAGTTTGAAATCTGGAGGTATGTTCATGTACTCATGGATCAGCTGCATCATCCACTTCAGATGATCCTCAAATGGATCCTAAGAGAAAAAATGTTGACTATATGTGGAATGTATATGTAAATATAGCATCTTTCAAAATGTTTTGATGATGAAGTTTTTGTTTGTTTTTTTGTAATTGAAAAGAAAATTAGTGCAGGCTGTTGCTTTCAGCCCACTTATTTCATTGTCCCCATGTCATGCCATTTGTAATTATAAGGGTGCATTACTGTCTACTAATTCTGTTTTTGTTTGGAAATGTTCCAAATGTCTACAAATAGTGAGTTCAATTTAAAAAAGAGGAAAGGAAAAAAATTGCTTACCTCAGGCCTTTTCTCCACAATGTCAAACGTCTTCCTGGGTCTGGGTACTTTCTCCTTCAGCTCGGGGGCATAGTGTTTAGTTGAAACTATGGCTGAGTCCAGGTTGGCACAAATCTGAGAGAGAGAGAGGGAGAGAGAGAGAGAAAAGGATGATGATGAATATGATGATTATGAAGAATAAGAGGAGATGGGGAGCTCTTATTAGTGACAAACAGGAAGGTGAATAGTTAAACCCCGACCTGCAGAACATGCTCCACAGCCCTGTCCAGGATCTTTGCGCCCCCTGTTCCCGGTGATGCAGTGAGACCCAGGATCTGTGGCAACGGTCGCTCTCCTTTTAACTTTTTCTCCATATAGTATCCCATGACCTTGTTGTAGACTGACTCCTTGTTGGTGTGGTGACACTCATCAATTATCAGTAGAGTAATATCTGTAAGGACCATGAATGTGTCAAGCGTACAGTCTCTATTTGTGGATCTTACTGTCTGAATTATAAAACCTACATCATCATAAACAAAGAAGCTCACTTTTACTGACCTGAGAGCTCAATGTGTTTGGTTTCCTCCATGTTAGTCAGAGCATTATACAAGATCTGTGCGGTGCAGATGACCACATCTGACTTCTGGACCACTTTCCCGAAGAAGTCCTTCTCTCCAGTCTCTCCACTGACTGCCACCAAGGTGTAGTCATGGCCCAGGTGAGGCTTGAACTCTTTGCTGTAATGTTGGTCTACCAGGTGAACCTACAGTGCAGACGACATCAAAACATATCATATTTTGCCTTCTTCTGCTATGCTGCTTGCATCCTATTTTTTATAATCATTATGAAAATGATTCTGGACGCTGTTTGTATGCTAACTGTGTACCTTGTTTACGAGGACCACCACCTTTGCGTTCGGTTTGGACTCCAGGTGTTTTTTGGCCACGTACACAGCCGCGCGTGTTTTTCCACCTCCCGTCGGCAGCCAAATGATTATGTTCTCTCCCCGTAGAGCCCTTTCAACCACTTCTTCCTGGTACGAATACAGCCCAAAATCTGCCATCCTACACTTTCCTCCTGTTTGATAACACATCAGAATTACACAGTATAGTAGAAAAGAACCAGCATATCAAAACTCATTAACAGCATAAAGTCCACATCAGGGTAAAGTTGGAGAAAACAGCAACAAGCTTTTCTGTGAGACATGCTGAATCATTGTATTCATCTAAGCTGTATCTCTACCTTTAAGCTGTTAGAAACAGTCAGCCTTTATTAACTCACCAGTCAGCTGTGTGTTTCCGCTGCTTCTCCTTGTCCACTACTAACACACAGTGGGGTGGACGGCTTTTTAATTCTGTTGTGATCAGCTGTGTGACGCTCACACACGGAAACGAAAGTAAAAGCCCTTTGAACCAAGTGGCCCTAGAGGGAGGCTCTGGAGTAACAACATAACAGTCTTAGTGTGCAGTGACAGGGGAAGACTGAACTACACTGACATAAAATAGTCAACCCTCTTTCAAAAGCCTTTTTTAATAAAGCCATGTCTACGCTTATATTCATATCTTATCCATACTCCATACTGCAGCTGTGGCCTACAGCTGAGGTGTTTTGTAGAGAGCGTTGCATTCACCGTAAGAGGGCCCTGTCTGTTGCTCTTCATTGCATAGGAAAACAAAACTTATGACTGTTGCAATGTGTTGATGCAGGAAATCCCCATGCCTGTTGTAACATGAACCAATGTAACTTTATGTTTTCTGCCCTCCAGTTCCATTACTGAATAACTGAATTCAGTTGCAAGTCATTGTTTCACCAGACTTGGGTACAGTAAATCTGTAGTCAGGCTAAAGATTGGAATTTAAGTAAAGCTGCGCTGACTCACAATGACAATACATTCTGGGCTTGAGTACCTGTACACAACCTTGTTTTGTCATTTCATGACAATATGTATAATTAGGGGAAGTTGAAGTTCCTTTTATACTACTCACAAAAACAAAAATTATATAAATCTAGACCCAAGTAGATGGGTGAAGAAATAATAAGTCATAAACTAAAACTATTGTACGGACGCTAAGGTCC